GTGACTGACAGACTGCACTGTGGGGGTCCAGGGACTTGGTAATGTGGCCTTGCTTACTAGACGCTTCCATAAATAGCCCTCTGTTGGTCAGCAATGTTGTGAAGTGTTGTAAAACCACGTTAACGCCATTTTTTTTAAACAAGCTGCTCTTTAAAAACTAAGTAGCTCCACTGGTTCCTGTTAGTTAGTCATTAAAAATGGCTAATGTCGGTGATATATTTACTCAGCTCTTACTGCTTTTTGAGGTTTCGTCGTTTGTCTGCTGCTCTCCTCTGTTTTACAACACAATTTGCAAACGTCCTCTCATGTTAACGTCACTTTGTCTTCACTAATCCAGTTGCTAGCCCTTACACTGTACGTGCTATTCGTGTTAGCTTCGCCGACTGGTTTAACCATATGGAGATTTCACTGCTCGCCGGGAGTAGCATTCTTACAGACAAGCTATATATTCTTATATTATAGCGAATAAATGTTTACAGAGATAAGAGCCCTTACCTTTTAAAAATGGGAGTACGTGTCGTTTGCTAGGTGCCTGTACACTCAAATGTGACAGCTGCACAGTTCACACTGACAGGTGAACGTCACGCTCCGTTCATTGACCATGACAAGAGTCGGTAATTATATACTTTCACTGATTTTAGCGACTAAAAATGTTTACTTAAGAGATTGTATTTGGACAAAAATTATAAAAACAAAATACAAGATAAAACATTTTCTCATCGTATATAAAACTGCATTGTGAATTACAGGATAAGGTAATAATCAGTCATTAAAGATATCAGAAGTGCACCTGTGCTCGTTTGTTCATTAAGTATCATTGTAACATAATATACCATAAAAGTCCTCTTCGTGGTCAGCCAAAATTCTTTTTCTGAGATGCAGAAAGTAAAGGAACAGCATACGAGGTTAACCAAATCTAAATAAAAGGTGAGCTGATATGTACAAATATTGAAGGGATCCCTGAATGCACCGTTGTTCAAATCGACGTGCTGAAGACACAGAATGTTGCCACTGTCGCCCCCTAGTGTCTGAATTACAGAGGTACAAGTGTTTAGATCAGTCACTGTAGTTTCATGTACAGGATTCCACACCAACACTGACTGAGAAATCAAGTCAAGCTTTTTGATTTAAACATAATATGATGGGCCTTGAGTTAAAATTCATTGTGTACCCAGTTTTGTATCATTAATACTGATCTTTAGAGCACAAAAGTGCAAATATTACGCTTGGGTTTTCATCTTCATTCATTTATTTTGTGAAAATAAATTTTGTGAAAATGTAAAAGTAATCGTTTCACATAATTGGACTTATTTTATTACCATTAATTAAAATTGGACATTAGTCAAAATTGGACATTATTCCTCTGTACTGACACATGGTAATCTTACTATTGTATACACTGCTCAAAAAGAATAAAAGCTTGATGAATGAAATATTCAAATAGAAAATCTTTATTTACAATATTTAATTTGTTGTGAGCAAATGAAGAATAATTATCAACGTCTGCATTTTCAACTCTAAATCATCAACCTTGAAAAGTTTTCCCTGTAAAGTTTTCCCTTAAGCTGTGAAAATTATGAAAATGGGAAGCAGGCGCAGCAATTTATTGAAACATCTGTAAACACATATGGAAATACAAGATAAAAGGCAGAAACAGTGTTTGTACAACTCCATCGAATTGAATGTCAGTAAGGTGAAGGACAAAGATGTTCATACCAAAGTATGAACATCTTTGTTCTTCAACACAGCCTGAACTCTCTTAGCCAAAATTTCTTACAATTTCTTGAGGAGTAGTTCTCCAGCTTCTTGAAGGACTCTCATCCAGACCTCATCTATGTACACTCACAATGATTTCAATCAAACATTTCAGCAGTCTGTAACTCTGTTACCACTGATTTTCAGCCATACTTCCTTCCCCTGAGACCATTTCTGATGAGCCTTCAGTAAACAGATGGATCAACTGAAGGTCCAGATCTATCTCTCAGGTCCTGTTTCAGGTCTTTGCTGGATTTTCTTCCTGCTTAAGAACACGACTTTCAGATACTGCTCATCTCCTGTAGATTTTTTAGGTCTGCCACTTCTTCTTTGCCCTCCACTTATCTGGGTTCCTCTAATTTGTTGAGGCCACACTCCACACCATGCAGAGATATGCCAGGTTTTCAGCTGGTGGTGCTGATGGTGCTATTTTATATATGTCAGGTCAGGTAACACTTCATAATAAGGTCCATCACTAAGGGCGTAATTCACCTGTAATTAAATGGAATTTCAATGCACTTTATTTGAAATAACAATGTAATTATATTTACCTTAAATACTCAAAAAATAAAAACTCAAATACTTACACTAGAATAAAGGGGTAAGCTGTGATATTTTCATTTTGCTGTAATTATTATGAAGTGTTTCATCACTGGTGTTGTCTCTTCTCTGTGTCTTTCACTGGGATTACAGGTGGACGTTTGCTTGCTACACAAGCAAACAGTTGGTACAGAAAGAGTCCCAAAATCTCCACAGTAAAAGAAATGAGCTCCCTCAGAAAAACACTAGGGGGCCTCTTTGGAGGAGGAACCGGCCGTGCTCCACAGTGAACACTGGTATGATGTGTGGAGGAATTTGTTAGTGTGCCACCAGCGTCCACTAACACTGGAACGCACATGATACCAGGAGTAAAATTTAACATCCTGATGTGTCATCGTAACAATCTCACCTCAAAGGTTTGCTGCCCTTTTACATTTATCATACATATTTTAACCACGGAGTGCTATGCAAACACTTCAGCAGCACGGCCTGTACGCACCATCATGTGGTTCACTGTGCTGCATTAGATGTTTATCTCTTCTGTCGTTGACACTGGTCACAGTGAAGCTGTTCACCGCCACTCGTTATTTGACTAAATTCAGCTAATATGTAAATGTTCTGCAACTGCAGTCATCACACGATGGATACGCAGACAAGTTGTCTCGATAACACCAAATTATTAATAAGAGTGTGAATAAAAAAAACAGGAAAAAACCTGCTGTTTGTGTGTTTTTGTTCATTTCATCACATTAGAGTAATCCAGCCACTGTGTTTGGGTAGGAGAGAGAGAGGAGGATCTATTTTTATCCACTATCAGGCACTATGGTCCATATTCCTGTTGGAGATCATCTCAACAGGTGTCATGAATTTCTTGAGAGAAATATTATCATTGTGAGAAAAGCCTCCAGCAGGCCTGTTGCGCACCCCCTCCACCTCCCCATACCAAGAAAAGAGAGATAATCTTTTCAGTCTTTTGTGAAAAGAGGGAAATATCTCTCAAGAGAGAAGGATGTGATTATGCTTTGAGAAGGGGGGCAGACAGTAAAAGAAAGAAAAGCGTGTGTAGGGGGGGGGGTTGACAAAAGCCACACATTGCTCAGATTCCCCCACCCTGGAGGATGTTGTGCAGGGACTTGCTAGCTTAGGTTTGGGGTGGGGTTCTCCAGCCTTAGGGGCTGTGTGAAAGCAAATCTTCCAGGTGTCAGCTTGAACAGTGGAGGAGAATATTATCTGGCTGTCCATTGTGAGTATGAATAAGCAGGGTTTGCCACAGACAGCCAGAGATGTGTTTTTTTTTTCTCCTCCATTTGGGTCTTCTCCTCCCACCATGAGGGCTTTCCTTCCTCACACCCAGATCATGGTGTAAATTACTTTTTTGCTATGTTGCTGTCAAATGTTTACTTTTTTTGGTTGTTTATACACTTTATACGAGGTTAAGCAGAATTAAGAAGAAAAATAAAAGAGGCTGGCAGCAAAACCGCACACAGAGGGAGAAACGTCCCCTGTCAGAGGTGAACAAGGCCTCCTTTTCTCCTCTGGAGGCTGTTTAGTGTAGAGGAAGTTGGATTTCATCTTCCCCATTAGCCACTTCCTCTCCCTGCTCCCCCTTTCGCGCTTTCCCTTTTTTTTTCCCCGAACCAACAGGTTTAGCCGCAGTCCACACCACGGCTCGCATCACTGTGACATGCCACAATGTTGCCAGACCAGTCAGGCTGTACACAAGCGGTGACACAGTCACAACAAATCCACTAGCCGACAACTTTCACTGCTGCTTCAGCAACCCGGCTTTATTGATGTAAACAACACGGGAAGCGCTCGGAAGGTTATTTTACGGCAAGAAAATAAAGAAGAAAAGAAGAAAGAGACATCAACCCGATTAAAGATTAAACCGCCGATATCAACCCAGTCCGAGGAAACGAGTGTTTCTGTTCATTGTTTCATTAAAACTGATTCTGAGAAATCACAGCACAAGGGCAAATCATGCCTTCGGGGAGAGGGAAGTTAATTTCTTACCTCCGCGCAGTCACACACGCCTACATCCTTGCACAGAGTGCAGCTGAAGGAGAGGTGAGGTCTTGGGTCAGGCAGACATAAGCTGGTCAAACAGAGGCTGATTGTGAAGGTGGTGACAGCTCACCAGCAGCAGCTCTCTGATATTTCAACTGTGACCGTTGGTGAACGGAGTCAGCAGCACTGGAAGGCAGCTTTAGCACAAATTTAAAGGAATTTGTAGTTTATCAGACAAAGCAGATCTTTTTTACGCTCCTGGAAGTTACCAAAATCTGACAATGTGAAACTGAGGTTTGTACGTTGCACACGGTTAGTTTAAAGTGCTCTGACAGACTAATTAAAGGGTAGAAAGAGGGTAAGTAAATAGGCTGGAGACTATGGCACACACACACACACACGGACACACACAAAGAAATACTGAAAGATTAAAAAATGAAATATGTGAAGAGCAGTTTATAAGGACAACAACATGTTTTTATGAAAGTTTTGGACAGTTTTATTAACTATAATCCTTTAGAGACCAGATACCAGTAGAGCGCTGGTTATTTACAGAGTTATCAGAAATTCAGCGAATCGATCCGTGGCTCACACACTGAAGTATCTTTTGGGCAAAAGTCCCAAATTTCCCCTAAAGCATCCATCAAGGAGAGAATGTTACCAGAAGTGCTCACACAAAGAGAAAAGTGGTGTATGAATGTTTGGGTGATTGGGTGAATGTGACTTGTAGCAGGAAGCACTTTGCGTGCTCGAATTGAGTAAAAAGGCACTGTGTCAGTACCACTGCAACGCTTTGTTTCATTACTGAGAAAAATTGGGCTTAAGGGTGTTTGGACTGCCTGCATGTGCTGCAGACCATCAGAGCTGCAATGCTGGAGAAATTGTGGTTTCTAAGTTACCTCAAGGATCTTTTTCTGTTGTGGTTTTGCAGTGTAGTGGTTTACACAGTCACACATTCACCTAATGAGTGAAAATGCCCCGATTTGGTCCTGCGAGGTGTCTGGTGCAAAAACCTGCCAAATCAAAAATGCAGACTTAACTGCTCTGGTGACCCTTGGTGAATATGGGAGCAACTTAAAGTAGTAGTTTGAATGTCAGGCAAGCTGCAGAGGTTGGGAGTCTATCACACAAAGACAAAGAAACACTTCAAATTAGAATCGCCAGTTAACCAGAGAAGTCTCTCAGTGGATTGTATGAGGGAAACCCACGCGTCCAGAGCCTGCATCAATGACACCCACTGCATCAGCAGCACAGAGACACCTGGGACAGCTCGTTACACTGACAAAGTCAATCCATCCATTTTCTTAACTGCTTGTTCAATTGTGGGTGGCACCGTGTCCAGTGTGTACCCTTTAGGCCTATGATCCCCTCCAAACCTTGAACTGGATAACCAGAAGAAGCTTAATGGATGTCATCAGTATTAATTCTGACACCAAAGCTAATATTATTCGAGCACCCATGCTGCAGTCAACCTTATCCTCTATGTTTGGCTTCATTCATGTTCAAGCATGTGTTTGCAACCCCTCATGTCATTCATCCACCCCCTCCCTCCACCTCTTCTTGATCTAACCTCCATCTGAATGTCAACATCCCCCCTCCTACATGCACACATACCCACACCCCTGTCTCCTTCTCAGCTGTGGGCTTCTCAGCTCAAACAGGTAGACTCAGACACAAAATCCCAGCCAAGTCCAGACAAGCTGCTGCTCCTGCGAAAAAACGCCTGGAATGCAGGATACACCTTTCACCTCACAGTTGGACACACACACACACACACACAAACACACACGAAAAGTATGTGGTGGCTCGTGGCCCCTGACTTTCCAGTCTTGCTTTGGCCTGCTTGTGGCAGCTTGTACGTTAGCCCTCGCACGATTTCAGCTGTCATCTCGCCCCATGGCTGAGATTCCAGCAGGCGGGAGTCATGTAGGGGAAGGTAAAGATAAGAGAAAAGCTCATGTACAACCATTATTTTGATCTCACTCTGTTTTCTGTGCAGCGTTAATGAGTCGTGCATGGATTATGAGTCAACACAGACTTGGGTGCATTTAGGTAAAAGCTGCTCTTGTGTAATGTAACAGCCTTCACTGTAATTTTGCACCTCTCTGGTGTTGTTGAATCTATTTCTTCTCTAATCACATGCATCTTAAAATGCAGCAATAAAGCTGGAAGGAGGTAGGCAACAGAGCTGAATAGAACATTTTTATTTCCTTCTTTTGTCTCTCTGTTGCTCTTTCACTCAGTCTGTGTGTTGTCAGAAGAAAGGGACCCCACCTGTATTTATCTAGCAGTCCCATTTACACACACACGTACACAGAGAGAGCTCAGCCAAGGCCCAGGTGCTCTGTAAAACAAATTGGACAAGGGAGGATAGTAATCACCAACAGGGCACGCAAACACACGCATCCTCAGACACACAAACAGGAACACACATGCACGCACACACACTGCTGACGGTTTAACTGAATCTGAAACGTAATTTTTGGATTTCCATATAAAGGCGCCCGAAAGCATTCATAAGCAAAAGGCTGGCATGTTGTCATGCAAACACTTCCATCAAACCAGTTTGGAAACGTCTCCCCAGCCGTTTCTCAAGCTTCAACAAAACTCAGGTGCAGACTTAGACAACTGCTCGGGTTTGGAGGAGATGAAACGTGGTTTGTTTCCCCCTGAAATGCAAAGGAGAAAACAAAGGCAGCAGAAGAATTTCACTTTTTATACGCTTACTTAAATATTTATACCACTAATACTCTATAATAACATATAGATATACAGGTCCTTCCCTTGTGTTGTCCTCGGGATTCCCATATACTTGTTTGCCATTCACCTAGGGGTCATTTTTGACCCGAGGACAACACAAGGGTTAAACTTCTCTTTGAGTAAAATAAAGGAGTTTTATACTTTAAGCTGTATCAGTAATGCAGATTAAACAGAATCACAGGTCTACTGGGATTTTCCTTATATATGAGCAACACTCAGCACAGAGTCATTGTCTCCCAGTTTATTGCTAATTTTTATGGAAATTTCCCAAAATGGTAAATGATATAACTCAATGAGAGGTTAAAAAAACACAGGAAAATTAACAGTAAAAAAGTAGCATGGATAAAAATGCTTCAAACTGGTGCACTGAACTGTATTTTTACAGATTTTGACTGTGCACAGCACTGCATTTTTTGTGGGTAAATATGCACATTTTAAATAAAACACTTCTCAATCCTGCGACTAAAAACATACAAAAAGATGTAACAATGTAAATTAAATTATACTCATTTTTGTTGATGTAAAAGCAAATTATGGTGAGGCTACTGTGAACATGTGTTACAGTCTTTGTAACTCAGTGACTCTGTAAGAGCTAAGAAAAGCTAAGAAAAAGGGGGGAGGGGGGTGCAAATAAAAGGAAATCATTTTCAGCTGGATTCATATGTTTGACTCTCTGACACTCAGGACTTGGGAGAAAGATAGAAATGAGATATTCTTATAGTATGGGGTTAGATTACCTGTCATCATTCTCTTTTACTTAGACTTCATGGTATTAAATTCATTAATGCATTACACATTAAAACTCATGTCCAGGGGGTCAAAACCTAAAAATAGAAGAAGCTGTAAATCTGTTTACAGCGTTATCTGTTTAAAATCTTAAACTATTTTACCATTTATTCAGCTTTCAAAAATAACATATATCACAATTGTACTCCTACCACTTATCCTGTTTTTGTTTCGACATATTGTTTATATACTGAGTATATATAGTATAGTTTTATTTGCTGTGTCTCTGCTCTGTGAATGGACACTTGTGTCCATCAACCATCTTAAAAAAAAGAAAAATGAAGTTTTATATTCAGCAACAGCGATTGTTTGCACCCCACCTGACCACTTCCACAGTCATTGTATGACACACACACACAGACACACACACACACACACACTGTTTGCTCTGGCAGGGTATTCCTAAACACTGGGATCTCCTTATACAATAGCTTCATTAAGGGGACAATGGCATTTTGTCAGCTAATGACAGGGCTCCTCCCTGCCTTCGCTCTGCTCTGAGATTACCTGGAACACACACACACACACACACACACACACACACACACACACACACACACACACACACACACACACACGAGTCACTACTGAAATCTGAGGGGTCAGAAGTAAAATCAGCCGATGGGGGAATGAAAGACAGCCTGAGGCAGTGAGTGGCCAGTTCGAGGCTGTGCAGTCACGCCTCAAGTCCTCCTGTTTCAAACATAATCAATCATAACAGAATCAAATCAAATCATATCTGAAGCCTAAAAATCCGTAAGTCTAATCTGTTTCCTGTGTGTCTTCGTTTTCTGTGTCACTGCGGCGTCTTTGCTTCGCTCGCAGGTAAGGTGGGCCTCTACCTGCCCCCAGCAGCCAATCGGATCTCCTCTCCCCTCGACAGCAGCCAATCAGCGGGCAGACTCGCCCTCAGCCTCAATTGTTCCACTGTGAAAGAATTCAGAGCCACAAAGTTGACCGGCTGCCATTAAAAGAGAGTCATGGCAAATATCGCAATGCGCTAAGTATGACACGCTGATGTTTGTCACCGTAATCTACGTTTAAGGTGAGCGAGAGAGACGCAGAGGGATTGGCTGCTGCCTTACCTGCCCAGGTGGAAGGAGCGGAGGAGAGGCAAGCCAAACACAAACACAGGGAGAGAGAGAGAGAGGAGAGAGGGAGAGAGGGGCAGGGAGAAAAGAAGCGGGGCGAGAAAAAGTCGACTTACCTGTAGCCCAACTTCTGGCAACTCACTCTCACTCTATTACCTGCTCCGACTTGAAAGTCCAGTTTCACAAGGAAGAATCGTAGAGGAAGCTAAATATGTCACAGGAGACAGACAAGTAAGTGATCGAGCCAGAGGAGAGGATCTTTGCTGATTTCTACATGCGGGGGGGAGAAAGTTGTTCAAGTGTTTTCTTTTGAGTCTGTTATTAAAACGAAGCTGCTTTAAACCCGGGATTACCTTTGTTTAGGACACACACACTTTAAAAAAAATAAAATAAGAGGGGTGTAAAATGGGGCTCGCGTACCGGTTTCGCTCCGTTTGGACTGTTTATGACAGATATGAAGCTGTTCTAGGGCCTGGAGGAGAAGCTGACAAGCTTGGCGCCGTGGATTTCATTAGAGGTGAATTCGCCATTTTTGACTGATGGGAAAACCTTCAGGGTGCAAGGACTGTTATTTTTAAACACTTTAACTAAAAAAATATACTTTTTTTGTGCTGCTTTTGGATATCATTGCATCGTTTCATTCCCTCCTCCTATTTAAGGCCTAGAGAGCGTGTTGGATCTGCTTGTGAATGGGAACAGTTTGTAAAGCCTGCTGGCCTCTTCTGTTGTTTTCTAACGGGATATACAAACTCCTTTATTTATTAACAGTTATTTTAAAGAAATCAACCTTTGGACTGCAGCGCTAAAATTTTAATAGAGTCAGAAGGATTTTGCTCTTGAAAATTAAAAATTAAAATTGTTATTTTTTCCTTAACAATCATAATAATATTAATAATACAGACCAGATGTTACAGGTGTCCTGCTTTCTCCAAATTCTGTGTAATTTAAATTGTAATTGTGTCTAATATTGTTATAACAGGGATTAACTGCATTAATAATAACCTTATGCCTTATTTCATTTAGTTAGATCATTCCTAACACGATAATCAATTATTATTTCATCCATTATCATCACTATTAGAAGTATATGTTGCAACAAATATGGTTGTCAAAGTGTGGCTGCCCATAGTTGATTTTCCAGTTTTCCTGCAGAGCTGCTGTCTCCCGCATAAGTGGAAGCAGCAGGTGTCTGCCTCTATTTTGACACACAGCGTTAACATTTACTCAAACCCAGCAGATTAAAGCTCCAAAACTCCTAAACAGCGCTCAGACGTCTGCTTTCCGGCGACCCTCTTTCACAATACAAGCTCGATCCAAAGGCAGGAGCATTATTTATTTGCAGCCGGGTAAAGAAAGCATGCCATCGTGCCTTTTTGTGTGATTCAGTATAAGGAAGACACAGCGGAGCTTCTCTTTTGCCCTTTATTTTCTGTATAAAGGTTTTGCATCACTGGTCGCAGTGCACAAATAGAGAAAGTGGATCTTTCATACACTTACACAGAGATCTATGAAAGAAAAAAATCCTCATTAATATTTCCTGTGTAAATGTCTAGAAGTGCGTTGAAGCCACAAACGTGAAAGCCAAATGAAAAATGGCCACTGTCAGACATGACAGGAGCATTTCGTTGTGCAAGTTGCCACATTCGGAGCCTTTCCTGTGATTGGCTGAGCTCAGAGAGATGTTGTGGCAACACTGTGTGTATTTAACTGGTCTCTGATCTGATCTTAAGTGAGCCTAAAGAGCAAAGAGGAAAACACACAGAGAAAAACAGACAGGCGTGAACGCTGCTCTAGCTAATTAGTTCATCCATCACAGTTCAGCCTGGAAAATAACAGTTGTCATGTTTTTTTGATCGCCTACCAAAAAAAAACTGTACATGTGTAAAACAGTGTTTAAATCCCTGTGCTTCTCAAGCAAACGTCTGGTAGTGGTGGTCCCCAACGAGAGGAGGGCGTACACCAGCGAGGATGAGGCGTGGCGGTCGTACCTGGAGAACCCGCTGACAGCCGCCACCAAGGCGATGATGAGCATCAATGGAGACGAGGACAGTGCCAACGCCCTGGGTCTGCTCTACGACTACTACAAGGTGCCCAAAACCCTCATAAAGAGCATCTGTTGTCCTTCGCCTTTGATTCTTTCATGCATCTGTACCATTAATGAAACATTCAACATAGCAAAAGTGATAATGAACTCGGTGTGTGTGCAAGTAAGCCCTGTCTAAAAGCTCTGAACACAGTTTTTCTACTGATTGACGTTTATGATGTCACTGAGATCAGATATCCCCAATATGGTCATCTCAGGCACTCACCTGCTGATCAGAGCTTTTTGTTTGTGAGGGGCAGCCAATCAGAGGAAAGCTGGCTGAAAGGAGATGAAATAATAATTAAAATGTAGCAGCATATTAATTAACATATTTTGGGCATTTCCTTTCTATTTAGATTTGTCAAATAAGTTAAATCAGATCACAATGACAACTGTTTTAACTGAATCGACTGAAACATTACACAGCACAGAGGTCTGACGTAAACAGGTGACATGTTGCATGTGGGACACTAATCTGGGAGCTACAGCTCCCTTATAGGCTTGACCGAGAGTGACTTGACTGTCCTCCTTTTCTCTGTAGGTGCCCAAAGAAAAGAGACTTCTGCAACTTTCCAAAGCCACTGAAATTACAGAGGAACAGGAGAAGAGGTCAGTGAACACTCGCCTCGTTCGAAACACCACGAAAATACGCCCGACATGGTGGTCGACGTTTCCAGCAGCAGGTGGAAACAAACAAGGGCGCTCAGTGCAATAAAAGTAGACAGTTAAAAAGATGTTCTATGAAAACTGTTTAATACAAAAAGCCATTTCTTCAAAAATTGCTTTCAGTTACAATAGTAGCGAGTCATCTAATCTAAGGTCGCAGTGATATGAGACAAACACCAGGAGCATGAATGTGTGAAAATATCACAGATCAGTGAGTCTTGTTTCACTCCAAGCACTGATACTGAAAGAAAGAAGCCCAGACTGGACTGAAGCCAATGAAAGGCTCCCGCTCCCTGAGGAAAAAAGAAGAATACAAAAGATTTGATGATATAATACGCTCCGGCTCTGGGAGCAAACTGCTGTTATCTACTTACTGATCTGTAAAAAGGGAAACATCGCCTCATTTCCATTTAGACAACATGCTGCGTGAGTGTTTAGAGAAACTGTGCCTGAGAGCATCATTACATTTATTTTATTATTATTTTTCAGCTCTTCAACGCTGACTTGCAAATTAGTGCTAACCTTTAAATGAAAGCAGCTTCTCATTGGAGTTTTCTTCTTCTACATAAACCTGCATGTGTTGTATTTTAGTGGCGAACGCATTTTTACATCTTAAAATATAAAAAGGGGACTTTTTTAAAGACCTGCATTGACCCTCTGTAACCATGTTTATTAGAGTTAAGCCAAAAAACGACCCCCTGAAGTTAAAAAAACAGCAAAGAAGCACATAATACAGTCGCAATGTGATTTTTCTGGGAATCGGCTAAGTCACTGCTGTATTCATATAAATTACAAAAACCTGCATTAAACATCATCAGATTATAATCAGTGGTCTTGAGATCGCAGTTCATCAAATGCTTAGCCTTTTATGCCCTCCATGCAGGCTTTTTACCTGCATGCAACCAAAACCTGATTGTTCATAAACCAAAAAGCTTCCTGAAGTGCCAAAGCTTTTGCCTCCTGCAGACAGATTTTGCATATTCATATACAGATATCTATTTATAGTGAATGCATGTTTTACCTGTTTTATTCCATTTGTTGCTTTAGCGTACATCAAACCCACACAAAAGACACCACAGGGAACCTTTCTTTTACTAAAACGAACATCAGTTTTAGGGCTACTTATGATTATTTTTTTTATTTTTGTTATTTTTTGTTGAGGCCGTAAAGAGAGCAGCAGACATTTACCTCCAGATGTAGCTCACCCAATAATTTTACTATCTAATAGTTTGTGCGTTTCACAAGGAAACACATGTAATCCTATTAATTTCATGTTTTTATTCAGGCCGATGTTGCAGAACAACCCCAGCAGCCAAAGCGAGGTGGAGATGGTGGACAACCGCGTTCAGGTCCTCAAGTCCGTCCCCGTCAACCTGTCCTTGAACACCGAGCACCAGGAGACCAAGCGGGAGCAGTTCAGCGGCTCGACGGGGTCGGGGGACGGAGGCTCTCCGGCTGTTGCCGTGGTGAAGGCCGAGGTATATGCGCCCGTCTTCATGCCAGGAGGGGGGGCTCACTACAGGGTGGAAGGAGAAGACTCGGCGCGGGTGATCTACGAACAGAGTCCGTATGAGGTGACCACGGTCAGTCACAACTCGTACGCCAAAGAGGACGAGCAGAGCCCGCCTGACAGTCCGTACGAAGAGGAACGAGACGCGGTGAGAATGGAAAGAGCGTGACATGAACAGACACTGATGAAGATAAACATAGAATCGGCTTCTTTTTAAGGGAACACTGAACAAAAAAAGCACACTGTTGGTGCTAAACGTGTTGGGCATTGTAGTTTATGTGCTGTTGATGCCAGTAAATCTACAAGATAATCAGTGAATATAGCAACTGTCCAAAGCTGCTCAGTAGACCACAATGCATTGCAATGACAGGATCAGGTCTGCTTCTTTTCTTCTTTTTGCTGTGTTGTTATTATAATCCTATAAACCACCGCTGCATGAATGATGAGGTGCTAGAAGGCAAGAGAAATAAAGCAGGCACTAAAACAGGAAATGTAACACAAGAGGACTGCTGATGATTTGAACTGTATCAGCTGGACAGAGACTGATAAATGTACAAATATGAATCACTCAGAGGTTAAAGGCTCACTACATTCGTCCATCCGATGTGCTCCCTGTAGCTCGGAGGTCTCCAGCTGACCAGGACCTTCACGTCTTTCCACCTGCAGCATTGTTTGAGCAGTTCCTCTAAAACGTGCCTTTATATTGAATAATTTCCTCTTTTTCTGTGTTTTTGTGCCTTTTCAACAGAAGTACCACTCGCCTTCCTCTCTAGCCACAGGTGACTTCTTATTTCATCAGGAGGGAATGTAAGTGACTCAAGCCCACCTGCTATCACAGTGGCTGTGGCGTAAATGTTCACATGCAGACCATTTTGTAACCAGAAGAGCCTTTCGGTGCTATTGTCATTTCCAGTCACGGGGCTCTCGATGTGTTTGTGTGTACAGCGACAGCTTCCAGTACACGCTGGACGCCACGCGCTCGCTGCGTCAGAAGCAGGGCGAAGGGCCGATGACCTACCTGAACAAAGGCCAGTTCTACGCTGTGACGCTCAACGAGCTCAGCGCCAACAAGCGCCTCCGACACCCCATCAGTAAAGTCCGGGTGAGCATGTCCACATCTGTCTTTAATCTCTCTTTTGGCATTATGACCTGTAGCAAGTAAAATTGCTAAAATAAAAAAAATATAAACTCAGATGTTATGAATCGGATACTGCCCAGAAGAATATGTGGAGATCAAAAACAGAGCTAAAACAAAGGTAAGAAATTAAGGAGAATCTGTTGTTCTTTTCCTTATTTTATATGATTGGCTGCTGATCGTATTACACATTTCCAAACTCCCAAATGAGGTCACCATATGCAGGAGTAATCCCTTTGAGCTAAAAGGCTTCAAGCTCCTCCAAATGTTCACTTTTAAAGCGGATTTTCTGCTATTTTCTCTTTGTGGTGTCAATAAGAGTATTATCGCTAATGTAGTCATCTCAAGGCCCGGCTCTGGCTGCAGATGGAGAGTGCAGATAAACTCTCAGATTAAGATAGAGTCCAGTATGAAGCTGTGAAATAGCAAAATATGTGCCTTTAACTTCATAAAATGTGATTTTTTTTTTCATAGCTTGGCCATTATGATGTGAGCAGTTTGGCTAGGATAAGCAGGAAACAGTTAACCCGAATCACTCAGACAGTTTATTAAAACTTGGGTAAATTTTGAGGTGATCATCCCCTTTTTGTTGTTATATTGATGCAACTCTCTGGAGATGATCTGAGTCCAAAGTTACAAATAAAAGCCAAGCTGTAATATAAAAATGAATGTCAGATAGGACTGGCGTTGTCTGACTCATAAGTCGTGTTAACGTTTTGTTTTCTGTCTCGTCTCCCTCCTCAGAGTGTGATCATGGTGGTGTTCAGTGAGGATAAGAACCGAGACGAGCAGCTTAAATACTGGAAGTACTGGCACTCCCGGCAGCACACGGCCAAACAGCGAGTCCTGGACATCGGTGAGACTTTCACTGCCTCCCTCCATCTTTTTGTCTTCATGTTCCTTCCCATGTTGAACAGATGAGTGAATGAAAACGCACAAAGCAAAGGACAAGATGACACATTTATGCTGGAATGTGCTTAACCAATAAACACAGCATTGCTAAACTGAGAGCAAACAAGCCTCCACCCAGATGTCTGTCTGTGGCCGTACAGCTGCCCACCATCAGACAAGAGGCTGGGCCGTCGCACACGCACACACACCTGACTCTCTTAATGTCTACGTATGGCTGAGACCCACCACTTAAATCCTCTAATCTCTTTCACATTACCTGGGAGACTGAGCAGAAATAATTGTGAAAAGAGAGAAAAACAATAATCCAAAGCAGGGTTCAACTTGAAGTTGTGAAACTCCGTCTCACAGCGTTTCCCACGGGTAAACGCGTTCTCATCTGAAGACTCGTAATCGTCACACTTTTGACCTTTTGTCTGCCGTCGATTTTCAGTTGATGCATTTGAATTTGAACCGTCTTTTTCTACGCCTTGTTGAATGAGTGTGTGTGAGAAGCGAGTAGGCGGTTTGCCTTTTGACAAGCTAGGGCCTGCTCGGAGAGCGGAGATGTAGAGGTATGTGGGAGAATTCGATGGGAGAAGCACACACAGACATAGGCAGCTTGTCAGGACAGGGAGAGGAATGCTAGCCACACTGTTACCTTAGCTGGTCGTGGTCTGTTGGAAGTAATTCTTCCCCAGTTTAGATCTTCATCTTAATTCTTATACTTATACAACCCGAGACAAGTCCCAATCAGCCTACAATTCACACACATCTTTACATCTGCCGGGAGAGACGATCCAGAGGATGCCAAACCCGTTAACATTTTGGACTTCTTTTATTTTTAGTCAAGAAAATATTGGTCAGTTTGCTCTCGGATGGGTAGATCCACTGGAAGAACTGAACATTTTCAAAGACAGTTGTGTCAGGACCACTTTAGTGAAAGTAGGCTCTAATCAGAGACAAAAGATATATGATTAATGCTGCTGTTGTAGTCATAGAGAATTCAGGCCAATATTTAGCTTGAATATATTAAGTCACATTTAAATAATATGTTATGAGCTTTAACTTGTTGCGTTTTTAATGTCTGTTCTTGATTTTTTAAGCTGATTTTGTAAATGTTGTGCTCCATTTTTTCTCCCTGGTTTTGTGAGTCTGTTCTGTTTGTCTGTCTGTTGGTCTGTGTGGTCGGGCCGGCCCGGCATGCCTAGATTAAGTTAGGCAAGTAAGCACGATGTGGAGCAACAGTTTTCTGACAGTTGTTTAAGGTATATTAGTAAGATAAACATATAATCAAGAGTTCAACTGGAGGCTTGTTTTGTAGTTGTAGTTATGTGTGGAATAAATAACCTTTTCCCCTTTTTTCCTTTACATCCACCTTGCTTTTTATTACGTAATGACGTGCACGCTTCCTCCTGAAAAGCTTGGGTTAAAAACTTTACTTTACAAAGAAGATTTGAAGGTTGCAGCTATAGTAGAATTCAATTTGAAGTGGTAAATCCCAACTTCCAAATCAGAATTTTCAACTGGAACACCCATCAAGTCAGATTTCCAACTCAGGAAGTTGGAGAAACCCCAGCAACTCCAACTTCACAATCCAAATGCATGTTGACATTAGTAAAACTGTAAAACAGCAACCACTGCTATGTATTTGTGGCTTGCTTATTTAGTGTGTCACAAATACACATGGAGCTCAAGAGCAAAATAAAGTCTGGACCCACAAAGGTCAGGAGTGACATCTGATTTCCGAGATAAAAGTATGCACAGCAACTTGGTTATAGCATGAGGACAAGGAGCTAGGATGGAGGATGGGTTGCAAAGCAGGTTGCAGAGGCAGCAACTGAGTTGAGCACTCAAAGCACTTTCTAGGATTCACATGGGCCAACTCGGGATCCAGTATCTTGGTATTAAATGTTTTCCTAAAGCCCTGTGGAAGATCCATTATTGACTTTTAGTCGTGTTTGTTTGGTTTACTGTGTATTCAGGACAGACAGAAAGTATAGTAGTCTTGATGATAAACAGAGCCTCCTGTTTCCTGACTGTGACCACGGATTTGAAAGTGATATGAGGCATCTAATAACAACATTTCTCAAAATGCTGAACTGTACTTTTAAAGGGATCTAGAGCCACTGTGCTACTGCTGTTAACTAAAGGGAAAGCATGCTAATTTAGGTGTACATAAGACATAAGAGTTTCTGTCATCCAGGACTGCTTTGCCCAGGTGCACCAAATGTAGCTGTCTGCTTTCCTGGTCCCTTCATAGACACATAGGAAAACACAGTTAAGCATTAACTGTCACAGTTAAGAGAAAGAGTAAGATTATATGGCACATTTTATTATCCAAATACATAAATAGTCTTCAAATAACTGCAAAGCAAGAACTTGAATTCATCTCAGCATTAACATGATTACTTGGAGATTAAAGGTATTTTACTGCTGGTTTCATGTAATCGCATGTGTGCGTCTGTTTGGAGGAAGTGTGGCAGCTTTTTCTGCCTGCAATTCTTTGACACCCTGTTTGGCATTTGCTAGTGTAATGAGTTTCTGTTTATAGGTGCGCATATATGATACAAAGATCGTTATCATGTATCAACAGAGAGATATTATCTGCACACGGACACGCTCATCTTTCAAAAAGTATACATTCGTTAAAGATCATGCTGACAAACCAGGCCAGCGATCGAGGACGGGCCGTCGTCCCCGCAGCTTCAGCTAGCTCAGACTGTGCGGCGGTAACTCGAAGATATTCGGTGATCTGAGGTGAATAGCGAGTCGTGGGGGTTAGTGGGGATGAGGCGGGATCCGTCGTGCCCCTGGGCAGCGTCACAGAATGGATCATTTGAATGGGCCTACTTAAAGTGGGCTGTTAGCAGACAGGCATGTTGCTGCTCGCCTTGCAGCTTTGTGCACCTGTTCAGAAAGCAGGAAGTATTGCTGTAACGGTGGTTAGGTTGAGGGAGGAGATGAGCAGTCACTGACAGAGGGGGCGGGGGGCATTGAACTGATCACAATTGGATCTCATCCTCCCACACGAAGATTTTTATTCTAAGGCTATTTCTTGGAGATGATGGATGGATGATGGATTCTATACTTTACTTAGTGGCAAAAAATTGTGTGGCAGGCAATGCTTTCTTCATTATCTGCATATTTGTGGCGTTCCTTCCGAATAACGATATAAACCTTTGGAAATGGGCCACATGAGCACAAATCTCTCCACAGTTTTACAGTCTAAATCCTCAAAATGAAGGGACGCGTGAAATCTCCTTGCTAAAATAGACAGACGTAAATTCATTCTTACAGTAATGATAGTCATGATTCACTCTTTACATTGAAATAAAATCCCGGGCCACATGTGAGTCATTATGCCAGCATACCGCAGCCCTGCAAGTCCATCCTGTTTGTAAGTCTGAGGTCAACAATATGAATCTGATGCACTCATCTGACTGGCTTTTAATGTGGTCGTCTGCGGCCAATAGTCTTCTGTGTTTCCTCCTGCTGCCTTTGAAGCCCGAGACTCTGTTTGCTCTTGCCGATAAGGCTTTATCTCACAAAAGTGAAGCGTGTCATTTCATTGCTTATCTTAAATAACAATAGCTACCTGCTTTTATTGACCGGTTTGAGGGGCGGTATGACTGTTTGCTGAAGAACTCATACTTGAAATGAACCGTGCCCCCGTGTGTCCCCACAGCTGATTACAAGGAGAGCTTCAACACGATCAGCAACATTGAAGAAATCGCCTACAACGCCGTCTCCTTCACCTGGGATGTGAACGAAGAGGCCAAGGTACAAATTTATTACGGCTGGGTGTGTGTGTGTGTGTGTGTGCGTGTGCATGTGTCTGTGTGTGTGTGTGTAGGAAATAAATGTCATTGTAATTTTCCCAGAAACTCCATAGTATTTACTCTTGCTGGAGGCGTGTTGGAAATAAGAAAAAGCAGTGGGACAGGTTTTTTGAGCTGATTCAGTTGTTGGCAAACAAAAGCACTTTCGAATGTGATGCAAGCACCTGCCTGACCCGTAGGCATCACTAACGCTCTTGCACTCATTTTGAAATCAACAACTGATTCTTAAAACGTTGGCAAATGGTTTCTGCCGCTGTGATCGGAGTGGTTTTGACTGCGTGTCATAAAACTGCAGGGCAGTGTTGCGTAGCTTTGCTCTGTTTGTCCTCCTTTGTGGCCACTCCTTAAACGGAGCCCCGCCGGTGTTTGAACTCCAGAGTGCCCCCAAGGGCCAACACACACACTAGTCTCCGTCCCCACCCTCTGTTGTTTGTTTTGCCCTCATTTCTGTGTGAGCACCAGCGACTGTGTGAATCACTCCGTGTTGTGTGCCTCTTTCATTGTAATAGCAGCCTGGGGACAAAGACAGTGCTGGAGAAAATGCAAGCTCACTTCTCTAGATAAATATTTGCTCTGTCTGTTCATCTTTTTCTGTCTTTCTTTCCTTCTGTCACTCTTTTTGCCTCTCTGAATCTGCACAACTATTGAGCCTGAACGTATGCATGTTGAACCACGGAAACAGGTGTACTGCCCTGCTAGTTTAGTGTATTTGCTCTTCTCTGTCAGGACTAAAAGAAAACCAGGAGGACTTTAAAGAGACAGAGTCTTTTTCACTTCCATGATATGTTTTTACACGCCTGATATGCCTGATAGCAAGTTGAAAAACACTGCTTGTCAAATGAATAAGATGTAAGGCAGTAAAGAAGAACACAACACCCAGAGGCTGAGCCTCAATTAAACACAATAGAACTATTTTCAGAGTAAAGCGCAAATGATATGGTGTGCACGCCTGAAACAGAGGTTCCTGCTTTAAGTGCTTTTTATTTGAAGAAAAACTTATATCAGGGGCCGCTTTAGTCAAAGGAAGATTACAACTGTTATACTGTTCTATTGTGTGAAGCCTAAAGAGATCAAAACAGCTGCAAAACCCAGAACAACAGTTGCGACATCAGACACAGCAGAAAAAAGAGGGGCTTAGGTGATGGTGGGTTGCAAAGTGGCTTGCAGATGCAACGTTTAAATACTGTGCCCATGTCAGCATGTCCTTTGACATTGTTGATTTGACTCATCAGCAGTGGAAAATATTGAATATTAAGAGTTATTGTCCTTCTTTTGTTGAGCTGCATTCAGAAGTCACAGTTCTGTCACCAAGAAATCACAGTTTTTGTCCCAGTTTTGGGAGATTTATTTCTATTTGTTTCCATTCAGTTTAACCTTTGCTTTTAGTGACAGGTTAGGTGCAGATACCAAAAACTCCTTGGTTAGGTTTAAGAAGAGGTTGTGGTTTGGGTTACAATATGGTTGTTTACACCATTATCCCTGCAGACTGAAAAGTGATGCCTGCCCAGTGACAGCCAGGGACGTTTGCAAGCACCACCTTGTAATGAGTTGAGAGTAACATACCTGTTTCACTATTTTCTAATGCCCGTGGGTCACGGCACTGAAGCCTAAAAACACCTTGTGTCTATCAGAGAGACACAGCTTTGTTAAAACAGCAGGATTTGACCCGCCCGAGCATAAAAATGGACCAATGCTACATAATATTTAGACACAAGAGCCCATCTGTCTAGAGAGAAAAGTTATTATTGTACGGGAAGACAAACAAACTACTCTGAGAGAAATGGGAGATTTTTTTGTTAGCCTTTTGCACAGGTACTTTATTTTTATTTTATTTATTTATTTTTTTAGACTTCTAATGGCGTTTATTGCTTCATAAGTAGAAACCAGAGAGAGTGCACAGCATAAGTTCCCATGTAATATTTTATTTTCATTTTATGAGGCCGAATAATCTTCCCACATGTCACTAAAGTACATCTCAAGGATTTAAGCTGGTAGTCTTCCAACAGGGTGCTGTTGAGAAACAGTTACTCGATCTTTATCAATTTTTTTCTTTTCTTTTTAGCGGCTCACCTTGCTCTGCCATGCTCTGCATTTATAAACGGGTGGTGCAGTTAACGGTTGTAGCTTTGGTGTTTAAATAGAAAAATCAGAGAAAATAAAAGTGAAAGAAGTACTGCAGAGCAGAGAATAATAAAAGAATGGCGCTTTAGCATTGACCCTGCCTCTTCTCCACAGGCTTTCCTCTTGGCTGCTGTAGATAATGGAGTTTTTATGGTTCAAGTTAATGACCAACCTCCTTGGCTTTTGTTGTACTGCACATTTATAACACAGACCAAAGATTGATGGCGATGTGTGCCGAGGCTTGACGAACAAGAAAAGCAGAAACATAACAGAGTTTTTTTTTTCTAACTGATGGGAACACCACCACATGAAAAAGAAAACAGTTTCTCACTGATCTGTTATCTCTGTACTTTTGATTTTTATCTGCTGAGAAGAAAACACATCGCAGGGGAAAGGAATTTTGTTTGTTAGACACTTAACAGCCAAGTGTCTGTCAAAAAAAGGGGGGGAAAGGCTCCCACTGGCTAACTAAAGGTGTTTCAGAGCTGACAAAACTATGTATGTCGAACATTTGAGTTTTAAAATTAAAACATGCTGGCTCGCTTTGGGATTTAAATATGGACAGACTCTAACAAGGTGCTGGAAACATTCCTCAGACATTTAGATTCATATTGAAATGATAGCATCACACAGTTGCTGCACGTTCTGTGATGTGAATCTCTCATTTCACAACATCCCAAAGGTGCTCTGTGGGATTGAGATGTGATGGCTGTGGAGGCCATCAGAGTACATCTGAACTCATTGGGCTGATTTGAGATTTTGCGTGTTATACTTCTGGAAGCAGCAATTAGAAGATGGGTACATTGTGTTTAAATGATACTCAATTGGTACTAAGGGGCCCAAAGTGTGCCAAGAAAATTTCCCCACACCATTACACCTACAAGCAGCCTAAATCATTGATGCAAGACAAGATGGATCCAAGGTTTCATGTTGTTTATGTCAAATTCTGACTCCACCATCTAAAAGTTGCAGCAGAAGTTGAGACTCATCAGACCGGGCGACATTCTTCCAATCTTCCAGAGTACAATTTTGGTCAGCCTAAATTTTCTGTTCTCAGCTGACAGAAGTGTCACCCAGTGTGGTCTTCTGCTGCTGTAGCCCATTCAGAGATGCTCTTCTGCATACCTTGGTTGTAAAGATAGTTATTCGAGCTCGTGATGCCATCCTGTGAAGCCTAGAGATGATTGTGTGGGAAAATCCCAGTAAATCCGTTTCTGAAATACTGTCTGACAGCTGTCTGATGCTGGTTGTCTTGACCATGTCTGCATGCATAAATGAACTGAGTTGCTGCAATGTGATTGGCCGATTGGATATCTGCGTTAAAGAGCAGCGTATCTAAAAAAGTGAGGACTGAGTGTACTTTTATTCCTAAATTGCAGAGTTAAAGTATTTTAATATTTCCACCTCTCCTTCCTTGTTCTGTGTCCCTGAAGATCTTCATCACAGTGAACTGCCTGAGCACAGACTTCTCGTCTCAGAAGGGGGTGAAGGGTCTTCCTCTGATGATCCAGATTGACACTTATAGCTACAACAACCGCAGCAACAGGCCGCTGCACAGGGCCTACTCACAGATCAAGGTCTTCTGTGACAAGGTGATAGATCACTTCTTCTGTATTTCTTTATATGTGGAGTCCTTTAGCCAGAACCAAATGCGCCTTATTTGTTTAGTAAGTTTGATTATTCTTATTTTCTTGACTCATTCATTTCTCAGGAGAGATTTTAAAGGGACAGCCCACTCCAATCGCACATGTGCATGTTTACCCTCTGGCCTATAATGCCGTTTTTGTCCATCTAGATTGTTTTGGTGTGAGTTGCCCAGTTAAGGAGATATCAGGTGTCTGCCTTTTCTTGAATACAATGGATATAAAAATGCACTTGCCTTGTGTTACTCAGGGTGACAATAAATACCCTCAAAAACTCTTTTCATGAACTGTGACCTGTTTCCTTAAAAAAACCCTCATTAATCTTTGTTGTGAGCTGTTTCTTTAATAATTAAAGGCGCCTAAAATGTGTGACTTAAAGAAGTTGTAGTTTAAAGGACTATAAATGAAGTTCGTGCCTTCATTTTCTGTACAGATTACATAACAGCTCAAACAGTGAACTAAATTCAGAAGCTTGAACAGAAATACGCTACTGTGAGTTTAACTGCTGTCTGGTTTTGCCTCAGTTCATGTGGCATTGACGTGAAGTCATTAAGATAAAGTTACTTGTGTGTTCTGAGCTGCTGGGAGTTACCAGTAAGGGGCGCACTCACTGTAAAATATTCAGACAGGTAGCTGCAGTGAGGCAGTTATATCATGACATCAGTCCTCCCTCTAGTGGTCAGCTTATGCATCCTCTGCACAAAATGAAGCTTACACACACACACACACACACACACACACACACACAGATGTGTTTTTTTTCTGAGGCTTGTTCGTATACACAAACTGATGTCTCTTTTCTTTTTGTTTCCAGGGAGCTGAGAGGAAAATAAGGGATGAGGAGAGAAAACTGTTACGCAAGAAGTCGAAAGGTACGAGCCGAGTGAGAAATAATTTAGTTTTGAATGAAAATGAAAAAATAATCAGAGAAAATTATAGCTCCAGGGTTCAGTTTGAGGTTTGCAAATCACTGTGAATATATCTCCCCTTCATCAGTAATAATTGTTGCTATTCATATTCTGCTTTTTTCATTTGGACTTATCTCCAGGGAAAGACGGAGGCGTCGGGGTGATAAGTGCCACCAAGAAGTCCGACACCACCTATTTCAAGACCATGACCGACTTGGATGCCCAGCCCGTGCTCTTCATCCCCGATGTTCACTTTGGAAACCTGCAGAGAGCCGGACAGGTAGGTCACCTCTTCTTTTTCTTTTTAAAAAGAAGAAAAAAAGCAAACTTTGTATTTTTGCAAAAATGTAACCCAAAATATTTGAATTTCACACATGTCCTTAGAGTAGATAAAGAGAGCCCCAACTCAGTAGGTGGCAACGTGAAAGAGGAAACAATGGGATAAACAAAGACCTATTAAGAAAACTGGATAAAAGGAACAAATAATGGCGTGCCTGCAGAGCCTACAGGCTGAGAGGAAGCTTACCTCGAGTCTGTCTTTGGTAGAATTAAACAAAAGAGATGAAAATATATGAAAATGTTCAGTCATTAATATTATCTGTGAGTGGTGAAAGTATGTGAACCTTGAGGATTAGCAGGTGAAATGAGAATTGGGTGTGAAGTGATACCATGTTTTTATATAGCGAGCAAGGATCAAGGTCTGATCTTTTTAATATTGTGGAGGAAGTGTATCGTGGCATGAGCAAACAAGACCTATGAAAAAGGGTTTTTGTTGCTTCTACGGCTGGAAAAGGTTACTGAAGCGTCTCTGAGGAGTTTTAACTCCATCAATATACAGTCAGACACAAATAAAGACTCGGTGGGTTCATAAAAATCACTCCAGATGTGTAAAAGCTGTAGCACAAGACTGAAAAACAAAGGTGTGCACAAGAAGGCTACAAGAGAACGCTACTGCTGTCCATCTGCTCTTGGCCAGAGGAGCCCAAAATAAAGTTTAAGGGTATAAATAAGAAGCATTGTGTTTGGTGATATGAAAACACTGAATCCAAACATGCAAGAATTCAACATCCTTCCATATTTTGCTGGATCTGTGCCCGGAAGGATGAAACAATGAATATAAGAAGCAAATTATAACTATAAATTATACAATCAAAGAAGAATAAAATTAACTTTCCTGAAAGTCAGTATTCCAGACATCCTTTTCTCCAGCAACACTTCCCAGTATTTCCTGGGGGGACCTGGGGCATTCCCAGAGTTGACGAGATATACAGGGTGTATCAAAAAGAATAATCCGATTTCAAAGTGCTTTCATTCCTCAGCCATTTAACCAGTAACGATCAAAACACGTCCTCTTTGCTGGGGAAGCAGAACAGCAGCCGTGACTCCAGACATACTTGCACGAGACGAGTTTGACTATTGTTTGGACATATGCTGCATGTCTGGAATGGGACACATTACGGACATATGCTGCATGTCTGGAATGGGACACATTACGGACATATGCTGCATGTCTGGAATGGGACACATTACACATTTGCATGTAAAACTTTACATTCGGCATGGATTTTAAAATTTACTGCAAGATACACCACCCTGTATAATAGTGTTACGGCCCCTTCCTCCAAGAAAACCTAGAAAGGGAGGCCCCCAAGAGGCATTCTAACTAAAATTTCAAAGCATATCGACAAACTCTTTTTGACCTGGAGGATCAACAGTTCTACTCCAGGCTCCTTCAAGAGCCTTACCCTATCCCCAAGGCTCAGCCCAGCCTCCCTGCACATGAAAATCATTTGGGGTGTCCGTAGCTCAGGAGGTAGAGCAGGTCATCTGTTAACTGGAAGGCTGGTGGTTTAGATCCCTGGTTGCTTCAATCTAATGCATCCATCGGAATATGAATCTGTGTGAATCCTAGATAGAAGAAGGGCTTGTGTGAATGAGCAGGTTTAGAAAAGCTATATAAGAACCAGATGGTTCACCAGTTGTTGCCTTTAGAATCTCATCCAAACCTGGTGCCTTGCTACTGGGCAGCTTCTTAACTTCCCCAGCAACCTCTGCCATTGTAAAAGTCTTCCTTCTTCACAGAGGACTTTTGGCAGGGTTTAGGAGTTCCTTGGTCAGAGGTTCTCCTCCCAAACCGAACACGGCTTGAGTTAAGCCCTGCTATCCAAGTCCTAAAAGTTCCTAATCCAGTAGAAATCTTGTGTAAGGACCTCAAATGTCCAGTTTATATTCAGAAATCCATCAACATTGTGGAGTTAAATATACTCTGAGCATTACACCTGATCAGTCACCTCGAACACGGGGTGAAGTCATCTTAGAAGGTTCACATACATACCCCAACAGAAATCTGTACTACTCGAGAAGTTTCTCCAAAAACAACCGAGCAAAACATTCTCATCTCATTTGCTTAACTGTTTTTTTAGGAGCCATGTAAATCGTATATGTGCAGAAATATAGAAAAGACTTTTAGATTTATTTCTGCGTGTTTTTATATTTTCAATAAGATTAATTTCTGCCACTAATACCTAACGCTTCCTTTTCAGGTGTTTACCTTCAACACAGAGGAGATTGAGAGAGAAGGGTGAGTACGCGTCAACACGAAACTCCTGTTTTCATACAAATATAAGTCATGCAAATGAAAGCAGTTTAAGATAGCCTCAGGCAGGGGAAGTGCACATCACCACAATGGAAAAAAGAAGACGTGCTTGCGCTTGACCTGACGCTGTTCTGTGTTTACAGGAGTGTGGTGGTGAAGAGGATGTTCAGGTCGTCAGATGAAGATCTGTGCCCGTCTCCTCACAAGCAGATCAAAGAGGAGGCGCACAAGAGAGGTACGAGCACGGCCGCCTTCTCCTACACCTGGACGTCATCTCTTCTGTCTTCTTTAAGTGACCTTCTAGAAATGACAAAGTCCAGGAAGGAGAGCAGGGAAATACGCAAGAGAGTTTGACATTTCTAATGATTAACGATGCAATTTATAACAAATCAGGCCCGAGAAAGGGAAACACCGTGCCCAGATCCTTTTCCATCCAGATATTTTCCATCATACGTAACACGAGCAGCACTATTTACGCTTAGTAACAATTCGATCATTTTGATTTAACTGATTATTTGGATAAGCAACATGAAACCGTTCTCAGAAGCATCTATGATTTGTCTCACCGGGTAATCTTCTGTATGTTAGCAGATAGAGGTACATTTAGCAGCTGTTCTGGAGCTTCACAGATGCTTACGTTTCCATTTCTTCCAAGCACTTCTTCTTCTTCTTCTGTGAGACTGAAAGTTCATTCCTTGCAAGGTTCACTGAGTCACACCACCTCCTTTTGCAGCCTCCCGGCTGTTATGAAACTGCATTTTTCAGATTTCCGATCGCTTATTTAGTCTGTAAAATGTCACAAAAACAAAATGTGTTTGTGTGGCCCCGAAGGACTGTTGACATCAGATGAAAAGTAGTAAAAGGATTTATAAATGGTTGCTGATTAGTTTGACAAACACAATACCTCTAAGTGCTTCCGTCTGTGCACTCCAATCATAGGCACATTATTATGTATATAAACTAAAAGGTGGCCTGCTCTCCTCCCTCCTGTCTGCAGTGCTGCTGTATGTCAGAAAGGAGACAGACGAGGTGTTCGACGCTCTGATGCTGAAGTCTCCCACGCTCAGAGGCCTGATGGATGCTGTGAGTGATGCCTCTCTGTTTGTACGTGGGAACTAATGTCAAAGGCACAGTTTGTTTGCAGCCCGAGCGCCTGTTCATAAGCTGCTTTTTTATTTTTGCTTCTTTTCTGTTTTTTTTTTCTCATCGGTAGATATCAGAGAAATATGGCGTGCCGACGGAGAGGATAGCCAAGGTGTACAAGAAAAGTAAGAAAGGGTGAGTGAGGCAAACAAAAGGAAGAGGAAACTAACTTGGAGCTTGAACTTTTTCCACACGAAATCAAACTTTTGCTGTTTTTGCGGCAGGATCCTGGTGAACATGGACGATAACATCATCGAGCACTACTCCAACGAAGACACCTTCATCCTCAGCATCGAGAGCTACGCAGACGCCTTCAAGATCATGCTGACGGAGATTTGACAGCTTGTTAACTGACTCAAGAGACTGTGGGGGAAAAAAATCAAAAGAGACACTGTGACTGGTTGATAAGCTGACTGGCATTACTGGAGACAGTCCACTGGAGCTGTACAGATGCTTTGAGGTCAACGTGGAAACACGTGATATCTCTCCCACACTGTTACACTATGAAGCAAATTGCATTTCCTGATTCTCTTGTTGAAAGGACGTTCCTATGAACTGGTTTGGGGTGAAATGATGGACCACAGATTCATATTCTCCAGTTTCACAGCATGTTTGTTTTGTATAAAAGAATATGTATGCTTATCCTCATTCTGTACAGACTTTATGTTGCCAAATAACACATCAGGAGTAGACTTGTGAAATGCCTGATGTACTGTATTTAGCTGCAGCTTGATTTAGTTTACCCCAAGTAATTTAGTAGCTTTGCATGCTGGCCTTTTTTTTGTTAGATGTTATTTATTAATGCTTTAATGAGATTTTAAATTTCGCAATTTATCCAAGAATTTCAAGTGCTACATTTTAGTGACTTTTAACTAGTACTCTTTAACAGTACTCGTTAAGTTTTAAAATGTCATATCCCTTCATTTCAGCCGTGTTGTAGTATTTACAGGTCAAAATAAATATGATTTCTAGTCCTAAATGAGAATAACACTTGAAGACTAAAAACAATCTCATTGGAGACAAGCGATATGCTGTTGTTGTTGGAAACTCAAGTGTTTGGTTGTGTTGAAAAATTAATAAAGGTATGGCGATATCATTTTTTGGCAAAACTGTGATTAGGAGTCTGTGAGTTAAATGCTAGCATGCTCACTAGCACACAAGGAAAGACTGTTAGACTAAACATAGAAAAGTCTGGTTGCCAAACTAATAAATTACATATACAAGTGTGTTTTCTTTGTGCATTTTAAAGCAGCTCAACATTAAACACAATGAATAGAACTGGAGTCAAAGACAGCAGCTAGAGCTGTACTATGCTATATATTAATGTTTGATATATATATGTATATATATATATATATATATATATATATATATATATATATATATATATATATATATATATATATATATATATATATGTTAAAGCTTTTAAAATTTAGGTGAGTTGTCTACATTTGAACTATTATTATTTGTAATCTAGAGGATGTAATGTGGAATGTTAGTATGCTAACATTTTCCAGTTAGCGCGTTACACTAGCTAGCTAAAGCTAATAAGAGTTTATTTTATTAAAATAATATTTAAGCTTTCAGCTGCTAGTTTATTCACAAGGGATCACCAAAGCGACTGTTTCGCGCTTCATTCTTACATCAGATACTCTTTTTAATGTAATCCTAAAGGGATTTTATTTCTCCTCCCAGGATTGATCCAGGCATTTTCTTTTAACTTGTTCAGTGAATGTATAAACTATAATGTGGAGCCACTGATATTTTTTTTATAAAATATTTAGTTCAACTTTTGTTCTCAGAGAGGCTCCAAATGTTTGAGTTTCATTGCAGTTTCATAACAGCTAAGAAGCTGTCCAAGATGTTGCTGTGACTTGGTGAACAGTTTTCATGAATATGCTTTCAGTTTAACAGAAGTCCTTACAGTGAATGGGGTCTTGAACACAGTGTGCCCGGACCAGGCTGTTTTCAGTGAGTATTGTTAATTCCAACCGCCTGGGCAGCCAAATGTTGGCAAGGCAAGGTGGCTGTTAGGCCAGCAAGACTTTGCATCTCCATAAATATCAGCGCACATTTGCAAATAGCTAGCTTGCAAATTCCAAGAGGTGTTTAAAGGTCACACCACTACATTGTCACCTAAAAACAAATCTTGAAAGTATATTTGGCAACACAGAAACACAAAAAAATCACATATAGTTTGTAGTACTTTCTGCCACCATTGTGATTTAATTAAGAATGCATTCTGGGACAACTGGTTACCTGATGTCCTCTGCTTTAGTCTTTTATTTGGGATCTGTTTACCTTTACTTGCTGTGCAGGGTACCAGCACATTAGGGTCTTGATGAATTGCAGTGACAGTTTATTTCATGATGCTTTGTGTTTTCTATTAATTATTAATTATTTCATTTTGGCATTCGTATTGGCACCTATCAGGTATGCTAGCATGTCATTTTCTCATAGTTTATCACCATGTTAGCCTTTACCAATTAGAACTAAACACAAACAACACACTAAAACTAATAAGACTTTATATAAATTGGTTGGAGTCATTCTGTTTCCCCATTTTACATCACCAATAAATATTGCACTTAGTGGAAACATGATAAAGGGCCCTCTGTTCAAACCTCCAAAACAGGAGTGATTTTACAGTTGGAGGCCGTTTTTGTCATTCCTCATCTTTTCTGTTGTTGATTTTTGTTTTGTTTTTACTAGCTTTGTATTTGGCTAGGATCTGTGTTACTAGTAGTAGCATGGGGCCATACCTGGACCCTACCAAAGGCTGCACCTGCAGTCCTCTAGAAAAAGTTAGTCTCAAGAGCATGGAGGAAATTCCAGGAGACAGGCAGTTACTCTAGGAGAGCTGAAAAGGATCTTAGAAGGTCCTTAACCCATTAGCAGGACTGGTATCATGCCCGGGCTCGTGTGGAGAGGGTATCCAGGTAGTTCCAGGAGGACAAGGGAATTGATACACTGATTGGCCCCCAAGGCTGCCTGACCTAAATCCAACTGAACACCTCTGGGACATTATTTTTTTGGTCCATCCGACAACACCAGGTTGCCCCTCAGACTGTCCAGGAGCTCAGTAATGCCCGGATCCAGATGTGGGAGATCTCTCATCATCCATCAACTCATTAGTAGCATGCCCCGACATTGTCAGGCACACGCACAACCACATGGGGGCCCACTGTGGGTTGGTCATTTCCATTTCCATTAAACAATATGGCATTCTTTAGTTCCTAACACATTACCCAGACCATATGAATACAGATATCCAGCATTATTGTTTTCCACTTTTTTTAAGCCTTGTATATAATCTGTTGGGGATTATAAGACTGCTATGGCATGAGGAGTCAAAAGGCCACAAATTATAACTAATTAATCCTGTGGAGAAATATGTATTTGTAGCTGTCATAACATCACAAACATAACCCATGTGGAGGTGCCTGCAGAGAAAATTACAAAGCAATTACTGGACGTAGACATTTTTCCAGTCAACTTCCTTAACAGTGTGTCTTCAAATTAAATATCATTAAAGACAGTGAAAAAACAATAAGTCTTTTCCCCCATTTTATCTTTATTTTAATAACAAAATGGACATCCTACACAGAACACATTTTGCAAGTTAACAATACAAAATCTACAAAATGACAGTTTTTTGGATTTTATTTTTTTTGTTCGACAGGTCACAGCTGTACAGTATAAACAGATACAATACTGTGTTTTTTTCTTTTCCTTTTTTAAAATTCCTCTACATTTGGCACTTGACCACAAGATTCTATTGAAATGACATGTGAGACTGTAGTACCAATCACCTCATTGAAATGTTAACAGTGTTAATTATTATCATTTTTCCACCTTAATATCACATTTATCCAGACAAGAAGACTTCCTTTACATCATGTTCAGCTTTAAAACCTAAAAAACCTTTTGCTTGAGAGATGCTGACTTTATTTCACCCTTGTTTCATCTGTATTATTGTATGGCTGTTTTACTTTTAATGTTTTGTGTGTTTTATTAATTTCACTTGTATTTTTAAATGTGTATTTTATACCTCATGTGAGCTAGTGTGTTGTAGTTCTTTACTATGTATTATTTATTCCTCCGCACAGCACTTTGGTCCATTGTGGTCATTTTAAAGTGCTTCACAAATAAAGGTGGTTATGTACGGTAACGTCAGTGCATCGACCTGTCAGTTAAGCAACCGTTATCATTTACATTTGTCACAGCATCAATTTGAAATTGATTGATTTTTTTATTTTTTTGCACGTGAGACAAAAACTGCACGTTCAGGACACGACGTCACATTTGCGCAAGAATGTAAGATTACATTGGAATTTAAACATTGACGCTGAGAAGTGGAAAAACTTAACTGCCGGCATGTTATTATCTTACATCAGTGTAGGAGACTTTTAAAAGTTTTAAAATGCAGCAGATGATATTCAAAGCTGAATGCATAGCAATATGTGTGGTCCTCTCCTTTTTTTTAACATCTCTAGCATAAATATGAGTGAATATACTGTACAACTTTCTTCCACATCATGTTTGTCAAGAAAAAGAAAAGAAAATGTTCATCATCACATTCCAATAATTTATATGTCAACATTTTAAAATGAATCTCTTCCATTGCAGCGAATTGCTACAATGTTACCACAGAGTAAAAGAATATATAAGTACGTACTATATATATTCATATAACATCTATCTTTGATTTTCAAATTATATACTTGTTGAACTATAGTTGAAGGAGAATCACAGCTCGGTTTCTATGCATATGCCAAGTTCGTGTATTCGTAGTTAAAATTTATGTGTGTACATACTGTATGTGTGGGTGTGGATACAGAACTTGGCATGAAAAGTCACTTTCAAAGAAGCAGATGGTTGTAATCTGTAGTCACGATATTCCCCTTCATTTAGACATCTGAGTCAGTTTTGGTTCCATGTAACATTCCTCCAAAATGTACAAAAAAAAAATTCAAACAAAAGACAAAAATAAACAAAAAATAATAATCTTTCATCCCCATCTACAATTACTCTTTGGTTAAAAACTACAATTCCCAGATCTTCAGTGTACTGTAAGCTCAGAACGCTTTTAGGCCCATGCTTACTTACTTCATTTTTTCCCAGTGTTGACATGGATTTACACTGCAATACTTAAAGAACCACCCAGTCAGTCAGTCACACAGAACAAAGCCAGCATGACTCCCTTTACATCAGGAATAATGCTTTCAATAACAACAAAGGGGAGGAAAACAAACAGCCAAAACTTGATTTGGCTCAGAGTACCTCACAAATGTGCTGAATTATCCTCACTGGCCGTCCTCTCAGACAGAAAGCACAGCTTTCAGTCTGCGTTTCACAAGTCTTTGATGGGATTTCAGTTCTTTTGACTTATATCTGTACCTTATGTGAGATAACCCACATGTGTTTGTCTGGAGTTTTTGACCAGGCGTAGAGGCGCATGAGCCGTGTGTGCATGTAGGAATCTGAAAGATTATATACTATTTGTAGCATGTGCATGTTAATCTGTGTCTGTTTGCGTTCATGTGCCTCTAAAGCTCGAGGTATCCCATGTGGAAGAGAAAAATCTCAGGTGTGTCAGATGGGAGAGATTTTGAAAATGTGTTAAATCTATTAAACTGCAGTGGAAAAAGTCCTTTTTTCATTTTACTGCCCAGCACTGCTGGGATCACACTGAAGCAGTCGGACAATGGAGGGATCGTTCTTCGCTCCCTCGACGAACTCCTCCAGGGACAGTTTACCTGTGAGAGACATAAATGACTTTAACAGGTGCTGCAATATGAATAGTTCAATTTTAAAAAGCAGCTTCAAAAAATATATATATTCATTATTTTTCAGCTCTTTTTTATAATCCATGAACTGCTGCAAAAGCTGGCAGGAGGAGGAAGAGACAACAAGCACAACCGCACCAACTGTGAGTGGGAACCAGTTTTTAAGGACAGACACAGAAAAATCAAGAAATGGATTTGTGCTTAAAATGTAGCTGCAATAAAACTAAAAAAAAAAAAATTGGAAAAAGCAGTGAGCCATAAAGTAACAGGCCTCCTCTCCTGTAATGGCGCAATTTAAAACAAAGCAGTTAAAAAGACTGATAACTGCTGCTGCTGCCAGTGAAACAGTTCCCTCTAAATCTGAAGAGCACCTTCAAAATTTAGATGTGCGTTGTGTGTGTGGGGTGGTGTCGTAATCTGGCTCTCTTTATTAGACAACCCATGCA